TTGAATCATTCTCAAAACTTTTGGCCATGACTGTACAAACAACGCACAGAGCAGCGCAATGCACAAGAGGTGGAAAGAGAGAGGAGGGAGGGAGCTATCTTCCTACTTTCTCCCACGTTTTGCTGCTCAATTCCCACTATTGATGGAAGCGCTCTGCTCCCGGCAGAACTTTGTTTCGATTAGCATGATTAGCACCCTTGTAGCCAATCACGTGTTAGTATATGGGACCATACCATTATGCGGAAACAGAGAAGGGGAAAGACATGATAGTCGGGTTAGAATAAATAGGCAGTGGCGAAGACGAGTGTGTTGCAAAAACCCATAAATATAATAGGAACATGTAAAAGAAGCAGCATCTGGGTGAAGATTATAAATATTATAGAATTATATATTATTATTATTATTATTATGGGTCTGTTCAGTATATTTGCTTGCAGGATTTTGTTCATTTGTTTTTGCTCATTAAAATTTTGATTAAAATATTACACAATAGTACAAATGTGTGACTTTGTAACCTAGCAAATATATAAAATTAATCAAGTGCAAGGCTTTTCATATGGGGAACTACTTGCTAAGTTATGCTAATATATGAGGCTGCAGATGATGCTAAACTAAGAGCCGCTTGGGAACCGAAAGAGCTGGCTCTTTTTTAGCAACTAGGTTAGCCAGCCAAACACAGAACTAATCAATATATAGACTTACTTCTCAAATAGTGGGGCCCAAATTACTGCCTGCACCCCTGCTCATAAGCATTCATAATACTAGATTAACAGCATTAAAAAGATAATAAAACTGTATAATAACAATTTAATACTACAATAAAAGTAATGTAGCAAGTTATGTAAAACAAAATAAAAAATGAAGCCGCATTTACTGTTCTGGGTTTCTAAAGGAGATGTGATGACATTTCTTACTAATGGCCACTTCCATGAAATACTGTTTTACATATTGCAGTAGGATATGCACAGTTGCAGCTAATGAAAATTAATATTATGGTAAATTAACTCAGGCTAATTTCATTACTGGAGTGCTCTCAAGTGCATCCTGACACTTTGCACTTGGGAAGAATTTCTAGCGAACCAGCAAAAAAAACAAAAAACAGAAAAAAAAAAAAAGGATGATGTTCAAACCTTTTATTGCAAGTGTCTTGGTAAATATGATCATTATGAAACTCAAGTTATCTGGAATTAA